TTGTAAAGTACACTAATGACAGTATTAACTTAGACCTTATATAAGTCACAAGCTCCTTTTTCTCCCCTTAATACAAGCTAATAGCAGCTTCTGCTGCTCAGTTTTCAACCCCAGGTTTCCACAGACATGGAATTGCTTATAGATATATATTTATATATATATTACACACGCATACACACACACAAACAGTGGCACAGTTGGACAGAGGATGACCGGAGCTGTGATGCGGGAGACAGAGACTCTTTACTCGGCTCTAGAAAAAGAGGGAAGGATGGGAGATGAAGGGAGTGAATGAGGGAGAAATGTGAATGGGATGACTTCTCTGCTCCCTCTCACTCCCCCAGACTCCTCCCTATCTCTCTCCACCCTCCCGTGCCCCCCCACGCCCCTCTAACCCCCAGAGATGCACACTCGCTTGGAATATGGGGGCGCACACACTCAAATTTGCGTGAGTGTTTGTGTATGTGGACTTGTGAAGCGGCAGAACAGAGCTGAAGCGTCAAACAGACAGACATGCATGTGAGGTTGCCTTGGATACAGCATCCCGGTAACCTCTGCTTTTTTTTCTCTTTAACTCTTACTTTCTTACTGTTTTTTATTACTGTTATTTTCTCATTTTATTTGAGTATTTTGGTTCTTAGTACAAAAATCATACTAAGCGTAGTCCTCTTTCTATTTCCCCTCTCTTACTGTCTTCTCCTCATTCTTTCTTCTAACTTTGACCCTGTCCATCTGTCTCTTCCACTCCATCTTTCTCTTACCATCATCTACGTGCTTGCTTTGGTTATGAGAGAAGCTGGAACTCAAGAGCTCAAATTTAGCTGTAAACGGAGTTGTCTTGTCAAAAATTGTGTTGTATATTAAAAATGATTTTTTAAAGAAGAAAATGACCTTATTGTGAATAAAGTACTTGACAGTGGTGGAGTGTCGAACCAACTGTAACATGAATGAGTGTCTAATTGTCTGTCTGTTCTTGTCTGTGTGCATGTGTGAGTGGGTTTGTGCTATGCTACCGCTATCTGCCATGTAGATGCAATTATTTGTTGTTTTTTTGTTTTCTGAATAGCTTCCATATCATGCGACTCCAAATCAATGCAGCGTGGTGTAACTACACTAGACAAGTAGGACGCCTCTTTTGATGGGATTTTAGTGATGTTTATTATATATATTTATCGAAATTCAGCTTGTTTCTTTTCAAAAGCTTGTTGTGTGACTCCAAATCAACACAGCATAACTGGACGAGTAGGACACACCTGGTTTTGTGTGTTTGCTGCTTCTATTTTATATAAATATCGTTATTTAACAGTTTCCATATACTGCAACCCAAGGACTACAGGTTGTATTGGCACCCTGGAAACTTTTATATGAATATATTTTTTGAAAGTGCATTTTTTCTTTTGTTGAAAGTCTTGATTTACTCCATTAGCTTCCAGACTGTGACCAAGTGACTCCAAATCAATGCAGCACATTGTATTACTCCACTGGACTAGCAAAGCCACATATATTGTTCTTTCTAGTGCTTCAACTATTGAACATGAATATTGTTTTGTTTTGTAAATGGCAGTTTTTGAAAAAAATGTACACTGCACAGGAAGGACACAAACTGCTTTTTCTATTTTGTATGAATATTTGTATGCGAAAATCCATATCTTCGGCCTATAAATCCAATCTAAATATAATCTCTAAATTAATGCATCATGTGTATTGGGCTACTGGACAAGTAATGGTTTGTGCATTGCTAATTTACTTTTATCTTTACGAAAAAATTCAGCAGGCTACTTTCTAGTCTGTAAGTGAAACCCTGTGGTTAAGGGCGAGGGCTACGATGAGAGCTACGTCCTGACTGCCGACACTGAACATGACTGGAAGACTCCGGAGTGAATGTCCAATATTCATCCAAAAGCTATCTTCACTGTGGACACACCTGCCATCCATGCCAAGTTTCAGCCTTTAAGGGGGAGAAACTGTAGTTGTCGAGGTAAGGATGCAGAGCTGCTGGTCAATGCTTCTTTATGTCAAACTGTTTGGAAGGTCAAGTGAGATTGTTCCACTTAAACCAGAGTGTATCTCATAGATGTGTGAAACCTGTGTGTTCATATCCCTGTACACATGTTTCTATCCAGGTTCCTGATCAACTTTGTGCAGCGATCTTGATTTCTCAGCATCTCAGTAGTAGTTAGAACCAACTAGCAATCCCGGTTTCTGTTGTACTCCAGTAGCATTTCCACATTTCTCTAAACCAGTACAGGGTGTGTTAACAAAGGCAGCACATAAGCTGGGAACTCCTAAAGCCTTGTCATAACTAATACACTAGTGCTCATGTAAACATAAAAAACATACATCATCCCTGTTGCTGCACTTAAATGTAAGTGATCTACTATTGGCTAGAAGTACATGTTATGCTCTTGTATCCACTGTGGCATTAATGGATAGCAGCAATTGGGACGTTTTGGATATACTTGTCCATTCACATTTTATTAAAGGTAGTATTTCCTGAAAAAACATTTGTATCAGATATAAATATGTGTAGATATAAATATGTGTATATATATATATGTGTATATATATATATATGTGTATAACGTTGACTTCAAGATTATATGTGTCTCAGTCGATCTACACTGTCCTGTTACTTTAATTTAACTTATGCATTTGAAAACCCCAAAGAATCCTACAACTTACCATCACTTGTCCCCATACCAGCAATGTTTCAGTGTTCAGACCCTCATCAGTTAAAAATACCCTTTTTTTACTCTCTAAAGGGAGTACAATTGATTGACAGGATCTTGTTTGCATCCCATGCAGTCCAGTTTGCATTCACTGACTCACAATATTAAAATCTACTTTGTTTTATTTGTAACCACATGTTATATGCCTTACAAATTAATTTGATTCTCCCTAACCTATCATAGGCTTTCCAGGGTGCAGTAACTTGTATTAAAAATTGCATTGCATTACAATCATAATTACTTTTTAATAGCTTTGACTTAAATCACCTCACAAGAAACAAATGTTGGTTATACAAGTGTGGACTGCACTTTATAAAGCATGGCCACCAGGTGGGAGTATACCCTCAGCTTTCTCCCACAGTGTAATCTGTTTGTTAGACATTGGCTTTGTCGGTTTGGCCGCAAAGTTTGGAGTCTAAACAACCTGTTACAGTAGATCACATTCTCAGTCTTGTAAACAATGTAACTTGTAAGTAGGAATGTGTGTTTGAGATGCATAAAGTGATGCCTTTATAGCAAAGATCTGTTTAGTGTAATTGAGCTCGATAATGTCTGGTTATTGTACAATGTGCATTCTCTAGGTTAGAAGAAGTAGGGGAGCGTTGGTTTCCTAAATATCTGGGTTTAGTTTAGTATAGTTAGATGTTTCAATTCTGGAAATAAGTTATGTGGGATGGATTTGTGCTTGGTGGAGCACCATTAGTATATGATGTGTGTATGAGTTGAATATGGGTGTGTGTGCTTCCTCTGGGTCTGTGGGATTTTGGCCCATAATTCCTGCAGCTCTCAGGTCACAGCTCCGTTCTCACGCACATATTTGGCATTCCTTCCCCGACATGATTACCATACACCTTCCACTCTGGGTTTGGCTACGCAGAATATTTCCATCATTCCCGAGTGGAACTGGAGCAACGTTCCAGAAATGAACAACTCACCCCACCACCCCCTACTCGCTCTTCTCTATCCCACACCCCGTTTCCCTTCCACCCCGCTGTCTCCCCCTTATACCACCCCCTCCAGCGCAGATTCCTGCTGCCTTGCAATAGGAATCCTCTGGTACAGCCCTTTTTTTTCCCCTGAGTCAGCTGTTTGTGTCTGCAGGCATGATTGGGTCATTTGGCAGCGACATCTCTTCGGTGACCCCCTGCTAGGATAGGGAAGGAAGGGGAGGGATGGGGGATAAGAGCCGGAGAGATGAGAGGAGAAGCAGCTATGAAACTCTATCTCACTACTGCATGTTTCCCTTCCACTGTTCTGTCTGATCCTTCATGCTGAATACACATGGCAAAACTTTATGATGTGGAGGTCACTGTTGATTTTGCACAAAATAGTCGGTACTCAGCATATTGAAGGGGTTCCATGAGTAAGGTTGTTCCATCTTAGATTGTTTTCTTTATGCAATCTAATGTCTGAGTTTTGACCTTCAGTGACTACTTCAACCCGTGTTTATGAGAACTATGAACTACAGAATCTGTTTTTCTGCGTATCTGACGTTCTTGCACCTTGTCTCTATTAGAAATCTGCTAAGGAAGTTGGGATCTTTTCCCAGTTTGGAAGATGAGTTCTGAGAAATGGTGAATTTCCCTGTCTGACTTTCTTACTATAAATTGCTAACATTAATCATTACAAATTCATTGTTTGTAAACGGTAAAATTATTATTTACCACATTTTATTTAACTACATTACTATTTAATTTACCCTTTATTAAAGATGGCTGTTAATGGATAGAAACACAAAAGGGAAATGTTGGTTTTTGGTTAATCCAGATGATTAGATAGGTGAAACAAATTTAGGGTCATTGGTGCAAACATTCTGCAACCCCAATAATAGCATTACTTATTACCCACTGATCGCAATAATGCCAACAATGATCTAGAACAACCAGATATATTAAACTAATGAATATCTTGGTATAAACTGTATGGTATATATCATCATATCTTTAACCCTACAGCATTTCACAAATTCTTTGAGCCCAGGGAAATGTTTTCAGACGGTTGTTTTGTTCAATTAACAGTCTATAACCCAGAGAAGATAAAACAGAATAAACCATTACACCTTCAAACCACCTTTTTGGCCCTATTGCTTGATTCATGACATAAACATTTTCTGGAATAATTTGGCAATCATTTTTCGTTGAACAACCAATCGAACAATAAATCAAGGCGATCACATCCAGATTATTAATGAACATGAATCTCTTAAATATAATCATTGTGAGAGAAAAAAAACATGAGAGGAAGCATTTCAAAGAGGCTGAGACACATAGGAAATGTTTCTGTAAGGTTTACTGAGTCGAGAAAGACTGCTGCACACAGAGCTGAAATAAATAAATGAAATAATTTTATCGTAATAATTATAATAACCATCATAGTAAGATTGCTTATTTAGGGTTTCTGTCTTCTTTTATATATATAATATATATATAACTTTCAATAAATTGTTCCCTTTAATATGTTTCTCCTGTTTGTATGCATGAGACTTTGGTTTGTTCCACTGAATGTCCTGGTAGCAGCATTCTGTTTCCACGGTATCGCACAGGAGCATCATCCCCTGGGTCGTTTCTATAGCAATGCTAATAGACAAGGCAACCTCCGCACCGTGCCCCAACCACACTTGTCATCCTCTGCACCTATAAGCTGAGGGTGTAGTGTCCTCGGGGGGGGCAGGGTGTGTGGAGGAGTCATGAAGAAGATCTCCAGTTGTCTTTGGTTGGTTTGGTTTGCTGTGTTTGGTTGGCTGTTTTTGGTGCAGCTTGGTTATTATACATTCCAGTTCTTAAAGCTTCAGTCCCTGCGGTGAGTTGTCACGGGTTCATGCAGGAGCTGGATGGTCCCTTTCCAGAGTCCCTCGTGATCCAGCTTCACTCATGGTTGTTTGTACACTCGCTCACTCACACACAAACACTCTTGCATACAACTTCTTGTTCTTACAAACATGCGTTTATTCACTAAATCACTCATTCATCCAACAGTCTCACAGGTTCACACCAATTTAGCAGTGAGACAAATAAGTGCGTCACATGTCAACAGTCCATTTTTGGTCCATTTGATCTGTGCAGATCACTCAATCCCTTTGTCCGCTTTCCTTTCCTCTCCTTCCTGTTTTCCCTTTATCCGTAGGACTAGCACCCACTCTCTTGTTCAGTCAGCCTTCCCAGCCTTGTTCTCTCTCTGTATGGTCCAGTTGTAATCCCAAATTTAAATTGTCCAGCTTGTCCAGAACAGGAGACATGAAGGCCTTGTTTTTGTGGTTGTGGAAAAAGAGGCCTTAGTAGAGTCTGGGACTTTGGCGGCCTTCAGGTTCTTTGTCAGTATTTCTGGCCAACGAAGGGGAGCAGACCAGGTCCATAGAGCTTCCAGCGATGTACCAGTTATGATCCAGTTTGGGATCTTATATTGAGAGGAATGATCACTTACTAGGGGGCTGTAGTGGCACATTAGTAGGTGTAAAGCTGAGCCCCATGAATGATTCATCAATTCCTGGTCAATGTTTGTCCCAACAAACGGAGGTGTTCAGTCTTGTGCGACAGAGGAGATGACTGGGTTAGCCATTCGCAGGCTCAGGTCAAGGCTTTGGATGACAGGAAAGTGGGTGCTAGTGTTAGCCACTACTAGCGGGGCCCGGTAGCGCGCACCCGCTTTCCCCGCTTGCTGACGGTGGTGAAGCGGAAGGGGGTGGTGAGGTCAGGCTGCTCCCCTGGCGGGAAGCGCTTCATGAAGTGTACGTCCTGCTGGTTTGGGAGTGTGTGGGGGCCACGGCGAGGACGACCTCTTTTAGTGAAGCCCACATACCAGCCTGTGTAGCGCGCTGACATCAGAGCTGTGTAGTGGTTTTCCAGAACCTTTTCCACAAAGACGCAGTCCTCGCTTCGATTACTGGCCTTCTGAGAGAGCAGAGAAACCAGAGGTACACACACACACACACACACACACACACACACACACACACACACAAACATATGGAGAAACAAAGAGAGGCTGGTCAGGAAACTGGAAAATATATATTTTTCATTTTTGTCTGTAAAAGGTTGAAGTCTCACCTTTCCTACCAGCTTGCCACGGCGGTTCATGCACAGGTAGAAATTGGTTTCTTTGCCCCGGATTCTCACCTGGCTACCAAAGGTATCAGCCTCCACTACGAGCTGGGCTTGTGAAGGGACAGACAGAGGGACAGACAGACATTAGAGCCACAGGCAATTCAGATAAATGTATGTTGATAGGGCAGGACCTAGTCACAGGTTTAATACATTATATCACACAAATATAAAGGGAAGAAAGTTAAAGATGACCCAGATTCAAAGCTAAGTTAGTTTCATGTTGTATTCAGTTAATAAAGCAAATAACCACATTCAAGCTTACAAGGACAAACCGACGACCAAGTTAATTGCACAGATTACCAGACACCATTTAATGACATTAGGGGTTTTAAACCAGATAAGGCATTCACATTGAATCACCGTTTTAGGATTCATAGTTGCTGTTAAATGTGCTGATAAATCACAGACCGGTGTAAATGTCCCGGGCTGGACAGATGGTTGTCAGATAAGCCCGGTCACACACGGCCGCTGACCACAAATGGGCCTCGTAAAAAAGATAACAGCCAAGAGTAGACGGAGCACGGTGGGCCGAGAGAAGCTGGAGAACACAGACTGAGTGTCTGTGATACTGTTGTTTTAAGGTAAGTGTGTGTGTGTGTGTGTGTGTGTGTGTGTGTGTGTGTGTGTGTGTGTGTGTGTGTGTGTGTGTGTGTGTGTGTGTGTGTGTGTGTGTGTGTGTGTGTGTGTGTGTGTGTGTGTGTGTGTGTGTGTGTGTGTGTGTGTGTTCATCCTCCCAGGCAATACAGCTTTACCAACTACACATCTTCAGAGAGCGCTTGTGCCTGTTTAAAAATAAATCCCTAAAATGGTTCCTACATGACCTTAGTCAACAAAGGGGTCAAGAGAAATCAATACCTCCCTCCCTCTTGCCCTCTTCCTCTCTCTTCCCCCAACTCTCCTCTCGTCTCCCTTCTGCTCATTCGCTTCATGTTTATACCTTCATGCACCCGCCCCTTCTTTGCCTGAATTCCTCTCTCTCTGCTCTGTTCCCCTGTGTACTACCTAATCGCCAGAATTGGTCAGTTTTGGGTAGATTGTTCAGTTTAAGAAAGGCGTCTAAAAGCGGACATCCTTTTGCATCTATTTTCCCATCAATGGCTTGAAGTGGCATCTTAGCCATTTCAATTGTTTGTGAATCAATCAGGATGTGCAACGTGAGCCACCGCTGGAGCACATGCAGAAATATGAACTGCGGCTTTATGGCTTGGCTTTCTTCTGCCCATTGATTCTGTGTGTGGTTTAAGAATGGTTTAGACATCATTACAGATGGAGAAAGGTGGAGAGGAGGAGGGAGTGGGGGATGGACATAGGGAGTGTTAGAGGATGGAGGGAGGGAGGGAGAGGAAGCCTGCTGTTTTAAATCCAGAGGAGACAACAGGGAGGATGAGAAATCAATGCAGGGATCGATGAAGGAGATGAGTTTCTAACACTCGGCCCAACACTCTACCTGCCAGGCTTCTCCAGCTAACTCACACTTTTTTTCACTGACACCTTCTTTCTCTCTTTGTCTCTCTCTCTCTTTCTTTTGCTCTCTTGTGAATCATTGAGTCAGCAGCCAGTCGATGAGGTCTTTGTACTCCCAAGACAAGCTCCACTGCCCCTCTGCCAAAGCCTGGGGAGGCCTGTGTGTGTGCTTTTGTGAGTGTGCCTGCACAGTTGCATTCTGTATCCGTTCATGCATGCACTTGGTCAACCTTCAAGTCTTTGTACTTGCACCCGGTGTGAGTGTGCATGTGTTTGCAGGAAACTGTGCATGCACTCACATGTACCAAAGAGTTTGTGTGTGTTCTACTATGTGTGTGTGTCTTACCAAATTTGTCTCCATCTTCTCCTCGAGCGCTGATTCTACGTCCCAACACCTGGACGTGTTTGCCGCTGGTGCGGCTGTAGAGCTGGTAGACCCGGTGGTGTCGCCGACTCATGGTGTCTCTCACCTGCGTCTGGTTCTCCACATGCACACTGAAGTTGACCCCATCCACACCAAGTACCTGCTGAGAACACACATACACACAAGTCATGAACAGGCTAATACAAAACTGCATGTATTACAAAAATATAACTTGTCCTTTATGATCGCTCTTTGTCATGCATGCACACTCTTACCTGCAATGGATTGGACATCACCAGCAACATCTGGATACATCTGGAAAAAGTTAAAACAGACGAGTTAAGAAATATGCAAGCATCATTGAATGTTGGAAGAGTTGTGCGTGACACCATCATTTCCATCTCTTTCTTCTCTGCCGTTCTTTCTGTTCAACATCTCTTTTCCTTATTGGGTGACTACTCACACTGCTGGGTGTGCGGCTGGCACAGAGACAGGACATACAGACAGGCAGATGTCCAGGCATCGGCAGACACACAACACCCACAGCAGTGTTTATTGTTACGCTACCAGCCTTCTGTCCAAACCCCCTTTCTGACCCTTTCCTGACTTTCGCCACACCAAAATCTGGCCTCCAAATGACCCGATTGGACCGTGGCGAAATGGCAAACATGCCTAGACAACTAGAACATGTTTTGGTTTGGACATCTAAGGGATTGGGCTGGCTCATTTGGCTGCTCTGTGTATGTAGACAGCTGGGCTGGACTACAGGTGTAACCTCTGCTGTGATGTGGCTTTGGAGAGCGGCGGACTGTGGTTGCATTTAGAGATGCTATGAATAAGTGAGAACATGAGCTACCAAAACGTGTGGAAAACTGGTTTATGTAGGAATCAAATCGTGGGAAGTAAACGTGGTGATGTAGCATGCAGAATTTAGGTGTGTTTTCCTTATGGAAATATAACATTCATGCATACTTTCTTATTAATGACTTAACTACTTCTGATCTGAGACATGTTTGTTATGAAACAGCTGGTTACAGTTACAATACAAATTCTTCACAGTTTATCACAGTGCCTAATTGAAGTTTAGACCTTGACCTTGGTCATGTATCAAATGTTATTCACAGCTTTAGTAAGGGAGTGATCGTGTTGCACAAAATTTACTCTGGCAGTCCTTGAACTGCTCTGAATTAGTGGCTGAAGACATGATGAAGTTCAGAACCAAGTGTGTGGGCTGAAAAGCTATTCTACGAATTGTGTCTTTCCCCACCTCATCTTCTGCTATCTCTCTGCATGCCTCTTCTCTCCCTCTCTCTCTACTCCACTCTTTTTCTCTGGCTTGTTGTCCTCCCTATCTCTTCTCTACCTTATCTCTCCCTCCCTGTCTCTCTGTCCACTCTACCTTTCTCCTATCGTTCCCTGCCTCCCATTTTCCTTTATGTTTGGGGTTAGAAGGGTGACTCCTCCACACTGTCATGGACATGCACACAGATGTGCAGATGTGTGCAGGGTGTATGTGTGTGTACAGGAGGAGCAGGCAGCTGACAGCTGGGCCAAAGCAAAGACATATGCACTGCTGAGAGAGGCAGACTGAGAGGTACACAAAGGGAAAGGGAGAAGAAAGGTGATGTAAGAATAAATAGAGGGGAGATGAAGGCTGACAGATAATAAGAGAGGTGAGAGATAACATCAGAAAAAAGATGCACAAATGTGAGAAAAGACGAAGGTAACATCTTGAAGGAATGAGGAGAAAAAGTGGCAAAATGAGAGACAGTAGTGTAACCACAGAGTGTGGTCTGGCGTGAGAAGTAGACAAAAAGATAAATAATGGGAATGAAAGAGACAGGGGGGGGGTCAACTCATGCACATCGTAACACATGTCACTGCCTCCTGACTAACACACGCATACACATATGCTTCCTTTTCCCCTTCCCTCCTCTTCTTTCCCATAGCTGGTGTGTTGGCCCCTGAGTCGATCTAATAGATGCAGATATCCTGGGCAATGCAGTAGAGTGTTGGCCCTCATATTTTGCCTGCGCAGCCGAAAAAACCTGAGCGCCTGTGCATTGTGAGGACTCTCAGCTGTTAAAACACTACGGCTGCACTGCCGCCGAGGACACTAAATGAAAAGTGCCTCGGCACTGGATTCCCCTGCTCCCACAAAAACCACAGACACTCCATATTATGCCAGCCACAGAGAGAAAGAGAAAGAGAGAGGAAAGAGGGAGACAGGATCAGCCGGGGGTGGGGGAGGGGGAGAAAACGAGAGAATAAGAGAGTGCAGAGTAAAAGTTGGAGAGAGTAAAGACAGAAGGAGGTATGAAGCCCGGTGCGTTTTGGCTAACAGCCAAAATAAGCAAGGGTCTGACATCATAAACCTGCGTCCCAGCAGATCCACCGTATGGAGTCTGTGGTTAGACTAGCAGGCCTCAGCACCGAGGACTGGGCAGCAGCGTGGAGTGAGAGCGGTCGGCCTGGTGGGACTCAGCACAGAGCGGCGGTTTCAGCTGTGTGTAGCAGTGGTTAGCGTGGTAGGCCAACACTGGGGCAGTGGGCTTCGGCACGGTGCAAGAGTTTCAGATGTTCAGCAGTGAAGAATAGTGGTTAGGCTAGTGGGCGTGAGAGTGGAATCAGCAGTAACAGGGCCTATGGTGGAGCATGGTTAGAGAAGCAGAGGGCCTAGACACTGAGCTGTGGCTTTATGAGAAGAGCTGTAACAGGTTGTTGTGGCAAAAGGCCCTTTTGCTTTTCTCACTGGATGAAAACTTCCAAGTACAATAACCTTGATAACCTAACAGCATGGATGAAGTGAAGTTTTAAAACTGATAGGCAAGAAGGAAACTCAAGGAAAGAGGATTGGCCAAGAAAGAACTAAACCAGCAGACTAAACAGTGAGACTGCTCCTCTTTGGATACTGCCAGGGGCGCCATCATTCATCAGTTATTAATTCATACTTTTTATCTGAGCAAGTATCTGTGAAAAAATGGGGTATAGGCAAGACAGGACGACAGATGTAGGCAGTTAGGTGGGTAAGTGGAGAGAGTGTGAGGGAGACAGAGGAAGAGAGAAAGTCAGGCAGACACCGGCAGCAGCAGCACACACCCTGTCCAGGTTGTGTAAGGAATGAGAAGTATCTGGAGATGACTGCCATCTGGGAGAAGTACAGCCGACACAAAGAAAGAAAAATAAATCCCTTGGCTTTTAACAAGACACACCTCAAATGGGCAAACTCAAGCCCACAGAGTCTATACCCCCCTCCCTTAGATTTGCTCCTGGCACTTTATCATTTTCCTATCCCACTAGATAAAGCCAGTGTTATTTAACTCAACTTCTATTTTCAATGGAGGGGGTGGGGGCGCTTGGCCATCCCTGAAGTAAGTGCAGATGGTGATGGAGATGTTTATGGCAGGTTTTATGAGTAACAGGGCACTGACTCTGACCCAGTGACCCTGAACCGTCAGCCAATCAAAACAGGGCCTTCCATGGCATGTTTTCTATGGGGACTGATGAGGAGTGATGTAATCGTTAGACACTGCAACCTTCCTCTCCGTCATCTTCATCCTTTAGCTGGGCATGTCAATGTACTAGTATAAAGAACTGCAGATATGGATAATTCCTGATTGGTTAATTAAGATTATAACATGAAAAAGTGATAAAAGTGACTTACAAGACGGTCAGCGTGGAGAGAAGGGACCACATTGCTTCCCCCCTCCACTATGGAACTTGTCCCAGAGACAGTCTCCTCGCTCGGTCTGAGCCAGTCCGACAGTCCGGAGAGTTCCCCTCTGTGTTTTGAATCCGCTGGATGTTATGTAGAGTAAAAGAGTCTGCGGACACTCCCGTTGGCATCGGCGGCGGCGTGCCCCGGTTCTCCCGGCGTGGGGAATTTGGGATGTGAGGCAGGGGTAACTGTGCCACTGTGACCGCCGGGCAACCTCTAACAGCTGTCCAGAACGGCGGAGAGACGGATGGGCGGGGGAGCAAAGGGGGAAGGTTAGGTCTTTAAAAGGCTGCGCGTTCCCGACAAGGAGAGGAACAGGTGAAAGCGCGCTCACGCGTGATAGATAACCAACTCCAATCGATCTTGTTGACCCTCAGAGTGATGCTCGGTATTTGGACAAATGCGGTGCGTGCGTAATCTTCTGCGTAATCCAATGCGTAATGTTTCAGCGCAACAGCAAACTTCTAGTCACAAACATGAATTAAGCAGTCGGTGAGATAATAAAAATGTTTTGGAGTAGGAGATTTATTCCCAGCAGAGCAGGGTGAGGAGCTGTTGGAGGTGGGCTACCTGGGCTAGCTGATGGAGCAAACGGCGAGCTGGAGACGGGGGCTCTGCGGGCGCAGGGTAATGCAGGGCTGCCTCGGTCATGACTGCGTCCCCACGCTGGCTCAACGGGTCTGTGGCTCAGGTGACACCCACCAACAGTGTCAGACAGGGAGGGTGATAAGGTCCCGGAGCGGTCCAGCTCAGTTTATCGAGAGTGCTGAATGAAAATGGGAGGGGATAATAAAAGGAAAAAAAGACGATGGAGGGCGGGGTGGCGGAGAGGATGGGAACAGCTGTGACTGGGTGGCGGACTCAGCCACCCGCGACACAGCGAGGAAATGACAGCCGCACTTTGCACCTGATTTTCCGGACTTCCAAGCTTGCTTCAGACGCTGGTTACTGCCTGGCTGCAGGAGTCCTCCCTGCGCCCTCTCGACACAATACCAGCCAAAACACAGCACGATGACATCACCTCCAAAATGTTTGAAGGGGGAAAATGCAATCCGATCTTTTTATTTATTTTTTTAAACGTAGAAAGTTTAAGCAGTTTCTCTGAAGGAGAGGGAAACACCAAAGTCTCCTTGTTACGAGAAAAAGCGAAATCGGAGAGGAGAGGAGTGGAGCTCACCAGTTTCAGAAGAAATAAAGTTAAAACAGGCGCACTGGAAACGTGTTTACCCAAAATCACTCTGACAGATCGACTCCCAGTTCAGAACCTGCACCGTCCCTCTTCCCCTTACATTTGCCTCCCTGTTTCATTCAGACACAAGGGGAGAAAACGCGAGAGAAAATGCAAAAAAACACCCGGTCGTGCGTTTTTTTATCCACTTCTTTGGTATTTTGCAGATTCTTCTCGCTTTCAAAAGTTCCAAGGTTACCTTCCATAAAAAGCTCTTCTTGAGGGGGGCTGCTCAGTAGAGGCGCGTCGGCAGGCACAGACCTCACTCCAAGAAAAACCAGAACAAGATTTTAACAGACGCGGATCAATCCTCCCTCCCTCCTCTCCTCTCCTCACTCCCTCCCTCCTCTCTCTCTTTCTCCCTCTCTCACCTCTCTGTCTCAAACACGCACATGCACACTTATTGGATAAAATGGGATTAGTCAGTCGCTATGATATGCCGACCCAATTTACACAGCAAAATATAAATTTGTATTGCGTTCTATGTGAAAAACATCTGGACATGATAAGGACATTTTCACTTGTTTACAATACAAAGCAATTTGTTTCTGTAATTATGCACTTTTCTTCTGGACTTTTCTGCATTGTTTCAAATAATGTGTCGGTGGAAAATATAGGCTACTTGAAAAAATATATGCATTGGAAATACTTTTAAAGATTACATGGATCCTTGTTGTGGGTTTTTTGTTTGTTCGTAGCCTATTTTTAAGAAAATACGATTTGAAAGTGAAGAAAATGAATGTTAGGGACAGAAGGAAAAAGCGAAAAAAACGTTTTGTTTTGTAAAGATCTCCACTAAACAAAGACACCTGCCTCAGTCAAGTGAACATCTGTGTTAAAAGTTCAAACTAAGCGTACTTCTTGCCCTCCATTATCTCCCCTTAAGATAACCTCACCCCTGCAGCCTCAGTGGCCCCGGTCTCAGGGTTGAGGGTGGAGGGCAGTGCAGTGCACACACACGCGCGCACACACACAAAGCCACCGCCGCGCTTTCAAGTGATGTATTTTGACTCCCCATTTCATAACTTTTAAGTTAAACCTTAAGAGGGAAAATGAAACGGAGAATGAGAGACAGTCGGGAGGGCGGTATGTAAGCACGGACACGGATCCAAAACGAACATTTCTCAGGGATTTCGGCAGCAACGCCCGCTCTGCGTTCCCAAAACTCCCTCTCACCGCCGCACAACCGCAGACGGTCAGCCAAGCCAACACAACACTCCTGCCATACCTTTCAGTCACACACACGCACACGCAGGGAAAGTAGGTAAATGTGTACATACTGCAGTATGTCTTCATGTGTATGTGTAATAGAAGTGTAGAAGTGGGAGAGGGTTGGCTTCATACATCAGGGACAATTTTCTTGGCTTCAAGTGTAGGTTTATTCTTTTCAACATTGTACTTTAAAAACACACACACACACACACACACACACACACACACACACACACACACACACACACACACACACACACACACACACACACACACACACTGGACAGGGTTGAGCTGGACTGGGTAGGGGTATTGTGGTTGAATGCCTTTCCAGTCATGCTCCGTAGACAAGCCTCTGGCCTTCTTTCCTACTACTGGCTCTCTCTGTCTTTGCACCTGTGTCTGGGTGCTTTTTCGCTGCTCACCGCACTGCTGCAAGGGACACGAGTGTAAATGTTGTGGAGAGGGATTTGAACCACATTCTGGTGATGAGGAATGAGGCCCGTCTGGTACTCTTAAGCCCAGATGGAAGGGTTCAGAACAAGGACTATAGCAGATCTTGGTACAATGGTGGAGTAAGAAAAAGCAGACAGGAGAGCTCAACTCCATTCACAACAGTGCATGAAAGCCTGATTTGACTGGAGCAGTGGATTTGTAGCTAGATTTTCCAAAGGATCCTGATGCTGCGACTCTCATTGTAAATCTGGGAAATTAACATTGGTCTAAGCTTCTTATGGGAAACCAGACTAAGAGTATACGGCTCAGCAACATACACACATACGTTTTGGTTAAAAATACAAATAGAAAAATAATTAAACTAAGACCCATTTACATCTGCATCAGTTATAATGTTGTCATACCTCACTAATATTGGTTCCTCACAAGATAAAGGTGTCACAGCAAGTCTTAAAAACGTCGTAGCTTGCTCCTTCTGCGGAGTTATGTGAATAAATGTTGAACCAAGATTTGGAAATCACATTTTGGGATCCAGAAATAACATAACGTTTGAGGGAGGGAGGGGGAGGGGGGGGGGGAGGTGGTGTGTGTAAACCAACCTGGTATTTTCTTCCTCTTTCTCTCTCCTTCTGTCACATCACTCGTTCTCATTCATTTTCTGTCCTCCCTATCCTTCTCTTTAATCTCCCGGCTGTTTTTTTATCTGCTCACTCTGTCCCTCCCTCTGTTTGCAGCCAGCATATTGATTGCCCATGTCTTTGCCTCTGCAACTCCTGCCTATTGATCCTTAGCTAAGACCCACACACACTTGCACACTCACACAATCATGCAGACCAACTTTGCCGCACACATTATTCATAAATGCACACATGCATTCACTCACGTGTGCATAAACACACACAAAGAGACACACACCAGGTCATCTATTTTTTGCATATACCCTCTGTTGTGTTGAATAGACTTGGCATTGATGGACGTTATGCCTTTGTGCTCCTTTCTCGACTCATTAAAGTGAATGAGAGCTGTGTGTGTGTGTGTGTGTGTGTGTGTGTGTGTGTGTGTGTGTGTGTGTGTGTGTGTGTGTGTGTGTGTGTGTGTGTGTGTGTGTGTGTGTGTGTGTGTGTGTGTGTGTGTGTGTGTGTGTGTGTGTGTGTGTGTGTGTGTGTGTGTGTGTGTGTGTGTGTGTGTGTGTGTGTGTGTGTGTGTGTGTGTGTGTGGCTGCTGTAGGTCTGGGGCCAGCAGCTTTCACTCTGTACCTCTCTCTCTCTCTCTTTGACTGGGCCTGCAGGCTTCTTCATCCAGGGAGCCTGGTCAATATGGCCATTCTGTCTAGCAATTAACATCGATCAGCACTCGTCAATACCGTCAGCACCCAGACAAAGACCCAGGGTGCATTGCGTGTGCTCGCCCTTTCTCTATCACAGTCCAACAAATCCCCAAACAGCACTCTCATTATATGAGGGCATTCTGGCCTGACCCCAAGGTCACCGTGGAGGAGAGGCATGGTGTGCTGGACTCTGTGTTATGGGTGATTGGAGTGGAACCTAATGCAGAGCTCGGAGCTCTGCAGGCCAGTTGTTGACCCATTATGACAGTTGTGTTTGAGAGGTGTGGGTGAGGAGTCAAGTTTAGATATTCCTTGGTTTGGATGCAGTAAAGAGAAGTTGGCAGACGGGGATATCGTCCCCCTGCTGCGTTCTCTGAAGTGTTAGACACTGTGAGAACTTTGAACAGCATAAATGTAATCCATCATTCTTGTGACACACAGATTTTGAGTTTTCAGATGTGTCAAGTGCAGTGGATTGTGTCCAATTAGCTTTGTCTATAACGTATGGTCTGTATATGATTGGATGGGAGGAGGGATCGGGGAAACTGGCCTGTTTGATCTCTGGAGGGAAAGGGGGGCTTTTGGCTTTGATTAATACCTGCAGATATGGGCCTTAGACTTCACATGAGATGTTGAGATGTCAGGCTTACATCGGTTTCTGGGATAGATATCCCTACTCCGTTAATCATGGGCCAAGTTTAAACTGTTCCCCAATGTGTAAATGTATGAGACACTTAATAAAGGCCCTTTGATGACAGGGGGGCCCATGTGAAGTCAAGGAATGCGTACAGTGTGCAGGGCTTTGAAATGAGAACCTGTTCGCCACTTGTCCGCGTCTGTGAGATGAGAGAATCGACAGCTGCAACTTAGTAAGAGCAGGAATTAATTAGCGAAGAGCCGTTTGCGCGAAAGCAAGCCGCTGTTGAGATGAAGAGAAAAGCTAAATATTGTTTTTATTAACGGCGATGTTGGTGGTGCACAGCCTGCTCCCTTCTCTCGCTTAGCAAGATTAATCCAGTTAATATGAACGTTTACTCTCCTCCATTGCACAATCTATTGCAGCTGTTGCTCTATACATAGCCCAGCTGAAGCACTGGAATAACTTTACTTTGACACTTTCAAATTGGATGGTTTGATGCTGCTTTGGACTCGTGTCAGGATAATCATTATTTTAATCCAACCTGTCATTGTAAGGCTTAACCCTGATTTTGCAGACTGAATTATTGGATTGTGTTCTTTGGGGGTTCTTTGAACCTGCTTTCTGAGTGAGAGTCATAGTATAGTTTTCATTCCTGAAGTTATTATATGGCTTCAGGAATGTTTTGTCATTGTTGTGGAGAAGGTTTGCCAAAATACCAAATAATACAAAACACATGTGATTAAGCAAGTGCACAATACTGACTTCAAATTCACCAACACATGCAATCCAGCAGTACGGCTGTCTCATCTTCACCTCTGCGCCATCTGGCATGGCCGCTTGTTGAAGCTAGGACACTTTGCATTGATGAAGTGGTAGATAACAAAAACATAAAGACATCAAACTGGGAAGGAGCCATCTTCGTGCACCTGGATCATAAATCAGCATCATCAGGAACTCATCACTGAACCTCATGCAGCAGCCAACTATTTAAGAACCTCTGACAATCTCAAAGAAAGACCAACATAAATGTCAACAACAGCAGACACCATCTGCATATTTGGTTGACATAGAAACCAAAGACACTGTGCTTAAAGTGGCAATTGTACAATTTGAAAAACATATTTTGCTCAGACAGCTTTTTCTTTAAAACTTCCTCTACCTGATCACTTGAAATGTGCCGCAAATGTCCCCACTTTTATGGTGTCTTTTAGCATACTCCTGGTTAATTCAGCAAAACAACATGCAATCACATCAGTTTTAAAATATAATGTTTTTAATGAGAGCATTATTCTTTGCTGCTGTTGAACATTCCTTTCAACCACTATCCTAATTTCCCAGTTTCATAAAAGTCCTTCTAGAGACAGGTGATGCACACTTGCATTGGATAGATGTTTTCAGATTATGTTAGATTATATATTTCTCTATCAAAAAGACCCATAAATAGATAAAAAAGATAAGTCTGCCACAATATGTGGAAAACACACAAAGTCCCGTGTGATGTGGATGTGCATGATATCTGACTCAGATTGGCAGGGACTTTTTAGTGCGCTCCGTTAGGGTGTAGAGAAGTAGAAAGAGCTAATTGCTTTTGACCAATGAGGTTGTATGT